GGCGGCAGGTGGTTGGTAGGAGGGGGGGGTGGCTAGTAGTAGTAGTAGTAGTAGTAGTAGTAGTAGGTGGTCGTCGTCGTCGTCGTCGTCGGCGGCGGCGGCGGCGTCGTCGTCGTAGTAGTAGTAGTAGTAGGGAGCAGCAGTCGTCGATTTTGCGAAGTAGAACAGGTGCCTGTACCAAGCCCCGAATGCCAAATCAAGTCAATCTCAAGCAGTCCACGCACAAACCCTAAGCAGTTTTTGCCGTGTCGCGCTCGGGGTTTCTGTCTCGATGATTTGTGAGTACCCGAAAGCCTGTGGCATCAAGGGTCATCCATGGCATGGATTGGCAGAAGCTTGCCACATTAAGGGACAATGCTGCACGTGCGTCCTGTCAGTTATGTTCTTTGTGGCAGTGGCAAGATCATATGTGCTTGATTACTTGGACAAGTTGCCAATCCGCGGAATGAATTTCTGCATCCATCCGGGCAAAGTTTAACAAGTGGTCCATGCGAGGTGTCAAATTTGACGTCGACGCCAATATCGAGGCATGATTCTTTGTAAAGCCTGCCACATGCTATGTTTGCATCCGCCAGGTGCCCCACTCCATGATAGCAGACTTGGATTCCTATGCGCCAGAGTCTCAACCTGAAAATATCTAAGCTCGTTTGGACTGGGCATGCATACCTTTTTGTCAGCTCTTGCTCTCTTCCGATGTGCCAGGCTGTGGATGCCGTGGTGCACTGCTGGAAGCGTTCAGCAGAGAATTGCTCCACCGGCGACGGGACCGAATGAGGCACAGTTCAAGGCTCAAGCGGCTGAAGTGCGAACCTGCTGAGACGGTTGGACGGGTGCTGTGGCAGCGACAGGAAGTTTGCTATGGAAATGTCACCTTCGGCTTTGAGCTCGTGGCTTACCGTGCTTTGTGTCCCTTCGTTCCGGAGGGTTGAGGGCCTTTAGGGTTTAGGGCCTGGGCAGCGTCGGTGGCCGTTGCCCAAGGACGGGCTCCTTCCTCGGGACTCTGGGAGACACGGTGGGTGGCCGGCCCAGTCCAGATGGACTGAGGAGGGATGGACAGAGCAGACTTCGGCTGTAGGCTACGAAGTGACAATCTGCCATCCGCAGCTGTCAGATGGTCGACGCCTCGAATCTCCGGCCCCGACCGTTGCTCCCTTCTCTTCAAGCTTCGATGCCAAGGCCGCAAAACTGCTCGAGCCACCCGGAAGCACCAGCACGTACTTGCGGAGTTTGCAGACAGTACCTGTCGATGCAGCGCCAAGTGTGTTAAAAGAAGTGGGTGACGGCCCGAGAACTTCAACGAGACTCATCACTCCTTCAAACCAAAGCCTGAGAAGCGCTGCTGCACACCAGCATCCCGTTATACTTGGGCAATCGTCTGTAGCAAAAACTATATCAGGCAGGACATGCAAACTGCCCACAACATCTTGCAGCCCTCGACGGATCAGCCCCAAGGTTTGCGCCGATGCCAAGCAAGGCTTCGCTTATGGAAAGCGTTTGGCCGGAGACTCAGAATTCTCAAAGGCCGCTTCCGACAAGACCTCGGCTGAGGCCTACGACTGGCGCTTCTGGGAGGCCTTTGGTAGTCGAGGTCACGTGCACGTAGAAACCCGGAAGCTACAGGTGGGGCCGTCGAAGACGAAAGTAGAACTGGACATGCTTTTCCAGGCCTTTTGAGCCTCCAGTTCCAGCGTTCCTTGGCCCCATCACCCTGTCCCTCCAGGCGCAGAGCGTCCTGTACATGCCAGCCCGGAGCCAAGAAATGGGAACGAATCGGCAGAACGGCTGCTGACCTTGTGTCAGAGGTTTGGGACAGCATGCAGCACATGGCTCCATCCTCGGACCAGGGACCGGTGCAATGGTGGAGAGGATGTCATCTTTGGGACGCGACATGCCAGGTCATCAACAACATGCTGAGTGCATTTAAAGCTCATGCAGAGAAGATCTACGCCGAAAGGCGTGACAAGTCGACAGTGCCCGAACAGCTGGAGAAACGGTTCAGATTGACAAGGCCTTGCACCATCTGAGTATCAGACAGCAACAGGTCAGCTGCAAACTTACAATAAAAGTGCTCGAGATGTTTAGAGGGTAGGATGTCGGCCAAAGGGCAAGAGCGAAGTGAAGAGCTAGATCCCGGGATTAAGGGCTGCGGAAGGGCTAAGGGCACGGTTCAGGATCGAGGATGAGGGCCACCGGTAAGGGTAAGGGTTCGTGCGGGTTAAGCGTGATGGGTTACGGAAAGGATCCACGCTAAGGGCTCAGGGTAAGTCCACGTGATGAGGAAAGGCTAGGCAGGAGGCTGAGGGTAGGGGTTAAGAGATGTTAAGAGCCAGGGTGAAGCAAGGGATAAGGAGAAGGCCAAGGGTAAGAGAGGTTTATGTATCCTGGCCCAAAGGGCCCTCCCCTTAAGGCTACTCTAAAGGGTCAGGAGTAGGGGGTTACTGGGCTTGAAACTGTTTTGTGGAGAGTTTTGACGTTGCTGGAGGTTGAAGATCAGTGCATGGGCTGTTTGGGTTCGGTGGGAAGGCAAAGACTTAGGGCTAGGCCAGGATTTAGCTGAACCAGCGCGTCTTTTTGTTATGTAGCACACGTGTGTGCGCAGTAACATAGGGTAACGGCGAACGCCGCCAGCACTCTGGCCCGAGCGACGTTAGCTTTCTGCTACATGTAGTCTCCTTTGGGTCGTCGGATGGCAATAGCTTCCCTGTTAGCATGCCACGGCGCGACTTGGCGGCTGTCCTGTAGCCACCTCTGCTGCACATCCGTCACGACTTTCCCTCTCATCGATCTCGGCGGTGTCGGTCCCTCTCGTCGGCCGCCGGCGTGGTAGAGCACGGCAACCTGATCCTGCACGATGCCACCGCGTCGGCGAACTTGAGGCCGTCGAGGTCGAAGCTGTCGGGGGCCGCCCGCGGCGAGTCGAGTCGAGTCTACCGGCTCGAAGCCGCCGCAGCGTCTGCAGGTGTCATCTCGACGTTCTCCACCAAGATGCCCATGCGTCGTGGTTTGATCATGTCGCGGAGCTCCCCGATGAACTGCGCCGTCAAGTTGAACAGGTATCCTGTGTTGCCGTCGTGCCCCTCTCTGTCGCCAATCCGCGCGAAGTCTTGGCACGGCGGCGCCGCCATGAAGATGACCATGCACTTGGCTTGCCAGGAGATGATGGCCTTGGGCTCGCCGATCAGGTCCCATGTATTCCAAGGTCCGGTGCCCATCCCGTCGAAGGCCGAGAGTACGCCAGAGCGGTGGCCAGAAGAACCAAAAACTCCGACGAGAACAGCTGGAAGGGCGGCGCCGGCAAGGGACGCCGCTAGGGACAGCCCGGGGCCTCAACACCGATGGCGAAGTACCCGACCCACCGCCGAAGAAACTCAACGCGCTGGTTTGAATCCAAAGCTTACCAGCTAGCCCCTCCAAGCAATCCACGACATGAATCTCTCTTTGACTTGCCCAACATTTGGGATATTTTCGCCAATGTCTTTCATTCCCCGGAGTGACGAGATGGTTTGCTTCGGAATCCGAAGCATACCAGCCCGTCAGTCCAGGCAATCCACGACATGGATCTCTCTTTGACTGTCCACTTAAATCATCCCATATGTTAGGCAAGTCAAAGAGAGAGTCATGTCATGGATTGCCTGGAGTGGCGAGCTGGTATGCTTCTGGATTCCAAAGCACACCAGCTCGCCACACCGGGAAATGAAGGAAATTGGTGAAATCATCGCAGATGTTCGGCCAGCAACATTGGGAAAGTTCCCCCAAGCCAGTGGACACGCAAACAGTGGTGACCGGACTGATTTCCCCAATCCAGTGGGCAGCATCATTACATGTCAAACACCACAGCTTATGACTATTGATTGTGGTTTACACATGTTGATTTAAGTCTGGCTCAAACTCTAATTTAGGACTTAGGGTCCCGAAAGCTGGGAACGTTACATTGAATCAGCGAGGAACCATGCAAGTCTTTGCCTTCGTCGTGCTTCTTGACAATCACGGCTTGTCTCAAAGAGGTCCCACTTTTTGCAGCCGCCTCAATCAAGTTCCAGATGCTTTTGATTTTCACATTGTCCTTCAATGGAACTCGCTTGCCCAGATTTGCCTTTCGAACCGTCACAGCCAAACCAGTATCATATCGACTCATGTAGTCCCGAATGACATAGAACTCGAGGCTGCCGTTCGGAGGGTCGTCGTGGGGATGCGGCGAGGCGGCGCGGCATTGGCTATGACCACCTCCTGCCATGTGGCCATGTCGTTCATGATGTGTTCTCGTGGCCTCGCCGAAGGATGTGCTGTTCCTGAGTGCCATGGCCAAGGTCCATGCCGTATAGACCTGGATCGCCGGCACCATGTCGGAGTGCGCCCTCGCCTTGGCCACGAACCAGTCGACGTACTTCATAACGTCGTCCTCCTCGCCGATCTCCGGCAGAATCCATGCCCAGCGTGCCGCGTTGGCGCCGTCGATGGTCGAGAAGAGGCCTTTACCAGGGCGCCGTGTTCCAATCGAAGTGCCTTGGAGCCTGCCGTTGCCGTGGCTCGGCTGGCTGCCAACGCGTTCAGTACCCGCCCCGGCGTCCAAGTGCGGCGCGACACAATCTCCCTGTACACGCCGAGCGTGACCGGCGTGTACATCTTGGACACTGTGTTCGGACCACATTCTCGCGAGGCTTTTCTCGGCGCCCAGCAGCTCCTGCGCGGGAAGGAACGGCGTTTGTCGCCGAGCAGTCTGTCCTCGAAGCCCTTGTGACCTGCTGGTTCCACGCCGGGAACGTCTTCGCAGGTCTGTCCGGTATGCTTGCCGTGGTTTTCAGGGCCGGGAGATGTTGCCTCCACACCTCGACAGGGAGAAAGTTTGGTAGGCTGGCAGGCAGGTAGGTCGGTCGGTCGGTCGGTAGGTAGGTAGGTACGTAGGTAGAAGGATGCAGAGATACAGAGATACAGAATGATTGAGGGTTTTGTGGCCACAAACATGACCCAAATGCTATATGTAAGATGGCGGCACCATGTTGAATCGACATTCTCGAGTAGTTCGAAAGCACAGCTGCAGACCGAAGACTGTTGCGAGGACGTCGTGTCGGGCTAGCCAATGTCGGGCACATGTCAGCATGGGGCGTCCCCGCTCTGCTTCCCCCCATCTTCGTCTCGGACATGTGGCGGCCCTAAACCCTAGACCCTAACTTGCATGACATTGCTTCACACATGCCGCGCACGTCCGTGATGTCCGATTTGGCGCTTTTTCCTTCCTCGTCAATCACTCATTTCGACCTGCGGGTCAACCTTCACGGATTAAACAGGATTCCAACATGGACTCCAACGTCCTCCGACACTTGTTGGGGCTTTGTCCTTCATCAGCTTAGTCGTTTCCTGTTGCCACATTGTTGGACTAGAGCATGCTGTACCTGAATGGCTTCCGGCTGAGAAGGGATTCCAGGTGTGGGAGATGAACATGTAGCCTCATGAACCAAGCCTTCATAGGTTTCAGTCGTAAGGCAACGTCTTGAAATGGTTCAGTATGTATCAGGCATATTTGCGGATTTCCGTTGGGATAGACACAACCTCTCGAGTCTGCCGTTTCGAAGCTCACATCAGTTTCAAGAGCCAATTCCGAGAAAGGCAACCACACGCGCACTACGAGGTCATTTTTCCTTCTCGCTTAAGGCGAGGCACGTTTCGACTTGAAATGAATGGCAATGGCCGCGTGTCGCCAAGACCTCCTCCGCAGAAGGCACTTTGAATCGCGTGGCCGGTTTTGGAGACATGACCTCTCGATCTTTTGAACAGATGGGCTTTAGCGAGTCTGAAGGTGATGGTGCTGGGCTCAGCGTCCTTGCAGAGATTTCCGCGGGCTTTCGGGGCATTGCCGTGTCATGCGCTGCTTCCCCGAGGCACATCATCATTGGGAGCCTCGACCAGTGTGCGCAGAAGGAACACTGGATGCTACGGATGTTGCCGGCGCTGCTGCTTGCTTTTTGGTTGCAAAATGGGCAGTGAAGCAATCGGGTGCAAAGAGCGTGCTGTCGTCAAGACATGTACAGCGTGTGTGATGCGCAGTGCATGTGATACTTTGTCATTGAACATGTTCGCCAAGGAAATTTGTGGACGCGGACAGAGTGTTGTGCAGAGCAAGCTTGTTGCCACGCACGTGGATCAAGACTTTGGGCTGACGTAACATGATACTTTGGCTTGACGCAGGAGCACCACGACTTGCTCGAACAAGATAACTCCTGCACGGCTGCTTTTAAGCACTTCTTCAGCGGCCGGTCACTGGACAGGCACATCCTCCATCCTACCTTTTCTATCTTTTCTTGTGGGCAGAACAGAAACACAAACTGCACGCGCCTTCAAAGTGTGCAGTGCCGTCGTCTTGCCTGTGCGACTTTGTCATGCTATTTGCCTGGCCGTGTTCCAGTGCCAGGCGATCAGCCCGCAAGCAAAAGCTCGCTCGATCCATTCATCTGCAAGGCCTGTGCAGTTGCTGAGAGGTGCGAAGCGGCTGTCCTTCTGGAGATCAAACTGCGTTGCGCCAGGACGCCTCCGAGAGGCAGCGGGAGAGATGGCCCTTGCCTCGGAGAAGTTCCTCCAAAGTCTGCAGTAATCTTCGTTCGTCCTGCATCACTGTTTGCAACATGGTGGGTGCAACATGCTCAACCACTGCAGGATCCCAGCGATCTTGGCATGCTTGAGGGGAAGCTCGGCCGAATCTGATTTGTCATGGCGGCTGTTGCACAAGGACAGAATAAATGCGAGGCTGGTATAGTTTTCACGAAGCACCACGGAGTTTAGACCTTGGTTCTTGGCCAGTCATCAACTAATTCTTCATGAATGTTCCTGCTCTTCCTGCCCGTGGCCTCCAGTCTTTGCCGTGGCTCTCTGGGTACAGCCGGATGCTGTTGGGAGCGGAAGGGTTAGGAGGTGGGGCGGGGGGGGGGAGCTGGGATAAATTTAAATCGTGCGTTGCTCCCGTGAAGCGCAAGTCAAGACCTTCTGGGGTCGGAGTTTCTTGCCCTGTTCCTTTTTAACACCTAAACCTCAAGTCCGTCCAACGAACGAAGACAGAACACGGACGTGATGCTATTCCAGTGTGTTTGGGGAGATGGTTCCGTAGATGTTTCACGCGCGTTTCATGTCCAGGCCGACCTTGCCCTCAGTTTCTGATGTTTTTCTCACTGGGTTGGTCCAAGGCCGGGATGGGTAGTCAATTTACCCACTTGGGCACTGTTGCTCACCTGCTGTCTTGCTTCGATTGAGTCGCATGAGCTGGCCTCGTTGGTAATAATCTGCCCGAGCAATCGGAACTTTGCTGCCTGTGTCTGATTGGATGGTGCTCATAGACAAAGAGAGGGACAGAGAGAATCCTCAGGGCTGTTTCTGGATTGGCCGTGGAAGACCAGATGGATTCCTGGCCTTGGGCTCAGCGCAGGCGTATTGGTAGCTGGAAAGGCCACGCAAGACATGCTTAAGGCCGATCTTCATAGTCCTTCAATCCCTCGCGGCAGTGACCCTCTGGGTCACGGGCTAAGTTGGCGGCAGATGCTTTCCGAGATAAAGGGTCAGATGCAGTGCAAATTGAATTTCAGGTGGTCTTCGCTTCGCAGGATGAAGCTGGGTGCCTTTCCTGAATTATATAGAGCCCGCCTGAATGCCGTGGCTCAAAATCGGAAACCCCGCCTCGGATGTTTGTGTGTGTTGGGGGGTTGCAGGTTTGAGCAAGCTCTGGCCGGCTTGGAGTCCTTGGCTACGGGTTGGACAACGATGCTGACCCACAGGGCTTGCAACTTACTCGCTTCGCAGAGACGGTGCCAGAAGTGTCAAAGTCACGCCGTGACCTTCGGGAGGATTGCACAGACTTGCGCTGGGAAGCCTGGAGATGGCTTTCGTACCAGCGGCTGTGCTGAAGCTTCGTTCTCTTTATTTGTCTGTCGCTTCAGAAGTGTCTCCAAGTGTCACCCGCATACACCACTCTACTCTTGCTCTGTCGATGTTTGCTTCGACAGTCATGCATTCTCCGACAGCTTGTACGTGGCTGGCTGTGCCGTTGAGGTACACCCATTCCGGAGTCTGGTGGCTCGGCAATGAATTCTACCTATTTTGGCGGGTGACTGGTGATCACCCGTCAGGGACGTGGGACTTCTGAAGATAGAGGTGGGGACCCATCTGCTGCAGGCACATCGGCTTCAACACGTTGCTGGTTCTTGTCGTCGGAATCCGGCTGGAAATGTACCACGGTCACTTCAGAACTTTCGCGACCTGACAGCAAGCCAATGGATCTCGAGAGATGAAATTCAAACGAAATGCGAGGGACTACACACGAAGCACGCAAACGACATGTAGACAGCAGGCTTAAGATCTCGAGGCATTACAGAGTCAGTGAATTGTGTTCCAAGTTGGTCTTCAATTTGGGCGTTGTGTGCGCTGCGCTGAACTTTGACTCCTGCCGGCAAGCATTATTCGTTTTGATTTTTTGATTTTGTAAGGATGCTTGCATTTCTTTGGTGGCATACTTTGCATCCCACCGGCTTGCCTAGAAGGGCCATCCTGCTGCAGCACGGGATTATGAATCACATTCACCGATACGAGAGAACTGGAGGCCGTGACAGACGGGCACGCAGAGTTGGTCGGAATGTCTGGTGGCGCCTATGCACTGATGGGCATGACGTTTGGGGTGCTCAGCCTGCAATTGACAATGGTGGTTATGGCCATGGCAGTACAAGTCATGTTGCAAGCAATCGAAATTGGATTTGTTGATAAAACGTGCGCGAACAGTGCCCGTGACAGAAGTTAATCTCAGTGCCGCTCTCGCCCAGTCACTGATGCTGAATTGGTCTGATACCCGCCGAGCCCTCAGTCCTGAAGCAGCGCTGTGACCATGCAGAACTGTTCGCCTGAAGCTGCTACAACTCGAAAGCTCCTTGTTTGCCGAAGTTTGGGTCCACTCGGAGGCTACCGACGTCCAGAGCTGGCCATCCTCCTTATCCTTTTCGCGATGGATGTGGGAATGGCCTCTTGGCTCCCTGCACGAGCCGAGGAGCTGCGTTAAGTGTGAGTCTAGCCGAGGCCTACTGGCAAAGCGTCAGCAGCGAAGAAAATAGTACGAGCAGCTTGCCTTCCTGGAGTGGGATTTTGCATATGCGCGCTTTCAAGCCAGTTCTTCTAGGCTTTGATCAACTTTTGTGCGCCGGGCACATAGAAGACGCTCATGACTCATGCCTGCCCGACCATTGGGGAAGTCACAAAAGCTAGTGCTTCAACTCGTGCAGTTCTGTGTGCATTCCTATGTCTGATGGCAGTGGTGCTTGATGCCGACCGGGGATCTGACAAGCATTGAACAATTGACATTCCGAAAGAAACCTGCCTCTTGGAGTCTCCTCCATACCAATCCGATGACATCATAACCATAGCTCGCCATCGTCGTCATCGTCACCATTATAATCATCACCATCATCATCGTCGTCAGCATCATCTTCTTCTTCATTGATCGACAATGACATCATCAGAAGCTGCAGCGCCATCGTCGTCTAAATGAAAATAATGATAATCATCATCATCGCGATCATCAGCATCACCGTGGTCGTTTTCATCCTCGCCACCGCCACCGCCACCCCCACCCCCACCCGCGCCACCACCACCACCACCACCACCACAACCACCCCACAACCAGCAACGACGACGACAACCACAACAACAACATACTCCTACTCCCTTTCTACTCTACCTCGTCCTGCTTGTGGTGAACAGTCATACTCGTCATCACCATCATCAGTGTCGTCATCGTCAAGACGTTGATTGATCTTCTTGGGAAGGGCCAAACAAGGGGCAACGGTCAACCAGCAGTTGTTTTGGATCAGTGAAACCTCGGCAAACTCTTGTCGCTACACAGTTAGACAAGCAACTGCATCCGAATCCATTGAAGGGACGCATGTACAGTTGTCCCTGTGCGAATGTGGTTGCCTGTTGTTGGTCAGGTCATTCGGCACATTTTGGAGGAATCTCGGCCGGATTCAAATTTTCTGACTTGAAATCATCCGGTCAAGTCCTACAAAGCAGCCGTGGGTCAGGATACCTCTCCGGCTTCATCTTGGGCAGCTGCCTTGTATTTTGCTTGTTTTCTGTGTAGCTTGTCCGGGTCTGCAGCCGGATCTGTCTGCCTCGAGGAATAGTTGTGGGGCGAAATCTGGACGAGGAGGAAGCTGCAGAGCATGCGGCGACGACACTCATCTCGAATCAAGGGCGGATGAGACTCATGGCAAGGGTGTGCAAAGACAAGTGAACGCCATTCGTGCTGCTTTCCGTCGCAAGGTTGAAGTGCGAGAGACGTGTGCAACGAGTCATGCTTCTGTTGGGTTGCTTGGTTGCACAGTTGTCTCAGCGCCGCACGGAGCTGCGGTGGATGGAGAGGAGGGGGCAGAAGAAGAAGCAACAGTAGGGGTGTTGATGATCTGGCGCTCGCGTCTGCAGCTGCGGCAGGAGGAGTAGTAGGAGTAGTAGG